CAACCCAGATGAAATTAAAGAAGAAATTAGATAATTTTTACAATTAAATGATAATGAGAATACAACATACCTGAACTTATGGGACTCAATGAAAGCAGTGCTATGAGGGAAATTTATAGCAGTGAATTCCCATATTAGGAAAACATAGTGGGCTCAAATAAACAACCTAATGTTGAATCTCAAGCTCCTAGAAAAAGAAGACCAAGTCAAGCCCAAAGCTCATAGGAGGGAGAAAATTATAAAAATCAGAGCAGAAATTAATGCAGTGGAGACTGAGAAAACAATACAAAGAACCAATGAATCAAATAGTTGGTTCTTTGAAAGATTAAATACAATTGACAAACCCTTAGCCAAACTTATCAAAAAAAGGAAAGAAAAGACTCAAATCCATGCAATTAGGAATGAAAAGGGTGAAACCACAACAGATCCTGCAAAATCCAGAAGATCATCAACACCTACTTCGAGAACCTGTATTCTAATAAGATGGAAAATACAGAAGAAATGGACAGATTCCTGGATACATATGAATTAGCAAAACTGAATCAAGAAGATATAGAAATTCTAAATAAACCAGTATCAGCCAATGAAATTGAATATGTAATTAAAAACCTATCAACAAAGAAAAGCCCTGGCCCTGATGGATTCACTGCTGAATTCTACAGGAAATTTAGATAAGACCTAATGCTGCTGCTCTTCAAACTCTTCAATGAAATTGAAAGGGAAGCAATACTCCCAAACTCATTCCTGGAAACACGCATCACCCTGATTCCAAAACCAGAGAAGGATCCAAACAAAAAGGAGAATCATAGGCCAATCTGACTAATGAAGATTGATGTAAAAATCCTCAGTAAGATACTGGCGAACAGAATTCAGCAAATCATCAAGAAGGTTATACACCATGACCAAGTGGGATTCATCCCAGGGATGCAAGGATGGTTCAACATACATAAATCAATAAACGTGATACACTATATTAACAGAGCCAAGGGCAAAAACCATATGATCCTTTCAATAGAGACAGAAAAAGCATCTGACAAGGTTCAACACCCATTCATGATAAAAGCTCTACAGAAAACTGGTGTAGATGGTCTTTATCTCAATCTGATAAAAGCCATCTATGACAAACCAACAGCCAACATCATATTAAATGGGCAAAAACTGAAAGCTTTCATTCTAAAATCAGGAACAAGACAAGGATGTCCACTATCACCTCTCTTGTTCAATATAGTTCTGGAAACATTAGCCAGAGCAATTAGACAAGAGAAAGAAATAAAAGGAGTAAGGATAATAAAGGGAGAAGTTAAATTATCATTATTTGGGGATGACATGATATTCTACATAGAAGACCCCAAAAACTCCACCAAAAGACTTTTAGATTGGATAACCAAATTCAGTGGCATAGGTGGATACAAAGTCAACACTCAAAGGTCAATACCTTCCTGTACATGAATAACAGACTCACAGAGAAATTAGAGAAACAATCCCTTGCACAATAGCATCCAAAAAATGAAATACATAGGAATCCATCTAACAAGGAAGTAAAAGACTTTTATATTGAAAACTACAGTACTCTGAAAAAGGAGATTGAAGAGGATATCAGAAAATGGAAAGACATCCCTTGTTCTTGTTTTTTGTTTTGTTTTTTGGTACTGGGGATCGAACTTGGGTCCTTGCGCTTGCGTAGCAGGCGGCGAAACCACTGAGCTAAATCCCTGGCCCTCCCTTGTTCTTGTATAGGAAGAACCAATACAGTGAAAATGGCCATACTTCCAAAATTGTTATACAGATTCAGTGCAATCCCAATCAAACTTCCAACAGCATATCTCACAGAATTAGAAAAAACAATCCTAAAATTCATTTGGAACCAGAAGAGACCTAGAATAGCAAAGGCAATTCTGGGCAACAAAGGCAAGGCAGGGAGTATTACAATCCCTGATCTGAAACTATACTACAAAGCTACTGTCATAAAAACAGCATGGTACTGGCAAAAGAACAGACCTGAGGATCAATGGAACAGACTGGAGGATGCAGAAACAGCTCCAGACATACTCAGCCACCTCATCTTTAACAAAGGAACCAAACACCCTCACTGGAGGAAAGACAGCCTCTTTAATAAATGGTGCTGGAAAAACTGAAGATTGAAACTAGACCCGTATCTCTCACCGTGCACTAACCTAAAATTAAAATGGATCAAAAAAATCTAAATATTGAAACAGAAACACTAAATCTGCTGGAAGAGAGAAGAGGTAGAACGCTTGAGGACATAGGAGTAGGCAAAGACTTCATGAAAAAAAGCCCAGACTGCACAGGAAACACTACCAAGAATCACGGCAGTGGCTCCGCCCCACACCTTGTGCACACCTGGGAGGGTGAATGGTTTTCTAAGTGGCTGAATTTTCAAGTGACTGAAAAAGATCAAAGGAAGTTTTCACAGCACAATAATTATCTGAAATTCAAACTTATATCCAGAATTAAAGGCTGCTTCATGCCACACTGGCCAGGGGCACAGTTGCCCGGTGCCCATTCTAGGAAAGCCTGGACTTTGAGCACGCACCAGGCCACAGGTGGATGTTACAGGTGCGTGTCACGAGTGGGTGTCCCCGGCGTGGGTCACAGGTGTGTGAGCCCAGCGTGAGCACTGCGTTTCAGGCGAGGACAGCTGCCTTGTGTGCAGGGCTCCCTGATCCGAAGCCGTGAGCCCCTGCCCTGGTTCCCAGTCCCAGCTCCACACAGCCAGCAGCCCGGGGTGGGCAGCATTTGCTGCCCTCACCTCCCACAGGCCTTGCCCTCGCATCCCTGCCGACTGGCCGTGGGCAGTCACAGAGTCGAGGCACTGAAGCCCCTGGTCCTCACACAGCTCAGCATCCTCTGCACCTCCTCCCCTCGGCTCTGTCCCGGCGCAGCCTGAGCCCTTACAGCAGCCCCCGGCCCCGAGGCCTTGGCTCCAGCAGCTTCCCCTGCCAGGCACACTTTTTCCCGGAGCCCTGTCTCCCTCCAGCTGCCCGGTGCAGGCAGGTCCTGCCCACCACACAATGTAAAGGCGCCCACCCCGGCACTCGTGCCCCTACTCCCCACCCTGGCTTCCCTGTAGCTCCTTCCATCAGCACACACACTCCTTTCCTTTCTTTTTCTGTGCCGGAGATGGAACCCAGGACCTCACACTTGTGAGGCAGGCGTGGTGCCACTGAGACAAATCCCCGGCTCCTTATTTTCTATAAACAGATTTCTGCCTGTTTGCTCTATCCCAGGGCCCACCACAGAATCTGGCACATGGCAGGGGCTTAACCAATGCTTTCTCCATGTGGTGCCAGGCCTGAGCCAGGCCTCCTCCCACGTGCCAGGGGAGGGCTGCACCACTGCGCCACACCTGGCCCCTTTGAGACAGGGTCTTGCTAATTGCCCTGGCTGGGCTTGAACTTTCTCTTTTTGGTACCGGGGATCGAACTTGGGATCTTGCACTTGTGAGGCAGGCAGTGCAACCACTGAGCCAAATCCCCGGGGCCATGGGCTTGAACTTTCGATCCTCCTGCCTCAGCCTCCCAAGGAGCTGGGATGACAGGCGTGGGGCACTGTGCCTGGCTCAACACGTGCTTCTCGGATGAAGACTGTCACTTGCTGCGTGGCATCTCGGTGGCGGGGGCACCGAGGGTGGGTGATGTGGCTCCCCTGCTCAGTGCCTGACACGGAGTAGAGGCCCTGGGGACGCACAAGAGGTGCTGGCTGGTGGGGAGCAGAGCACCCCGGGCCACCCCATCTTGATGAGCAGCCCGCAGCCTCCCCAGCCCAGGTCCGCGGCCCCCCTGCCCAGGGCAGCCCTGTTGGTGCACTGAGGACAGACAAGAGCCGCCATGACTGCCTCGCCTCAAGGCCGAGCTGGGGTCCTGGTCTCGAGTGACCAGCACAGCTGGTTCTGAGGTTTCTACCGGGGCAGGTCTGTGCAGGACACGTCATCCAGGGTGTGGGGACAGTTGCAGGCTGATGAGCTCTCTGGTGGGAAGGAAGCCGGTGATGAATGGCCTGATCACTCCCCTCGCCCTCCAACTGTCAGAGGACAGGAGGGAGATGGAGCAGGCTCCTGGCCACAAGGGGACCCTCCGGGATAAAGGTGCCCCAGAAATGGCTTGTGGGCTTCCAGGGACGTGGGGTTCCCACTTCCTCCACCTATCTTTCCGGGGTCACTCCTGCCTGGTGCTGCCGGATCAAAGGAGTCCCCTACCCCGTCCTCGTCCCTTTAGCAGGGGTTGCTTTTGTTTTCTTGCATTGCTGAGATTCAAACCCAGGGCTTCTCTGGTCAGAGCTGCCCTAACCACTCTGCCCCACACCCCAGCCGCCTCACATCCCCCAAGTGCAGGGCCATGTCTCCCCGCCGGTCCTCCAGGCATTCCTGTCTCTTCAGCCTGGACACAACTCTTCTCCCCATGCCTTCACCTGGGGCCTCCTAAGACCCGGGGTGTCCAAGGAGGGTGCAGGCGGGGTTCCTGGGGACCAAGATGCAGCCCACCTCTCCCTGGAGAGCTGAACCTTGCCCCAGACCTGGCGCCCTATGAGAATGACCCTCCCCTCCCCCTGGGGTGGGTCTCCTGTCATCTTGCCTGGTGGCCTTTTCCTCCTCTATCTCCTGCCCAGCAAGGGGCCCTGGGTTTCCTGGGTTGCCCAGGGCCAGTTCCGGAGGGTGTGGGTGACTGAACCCATAAAAACACCATCAAGGGGCCTGGAGAGCTCTAAAAATAGCACCCAAGCCATCTGTCCCACAGGGTGGACGGATGAGCCAGTGGCCCTGCCTCTGCTGGCTGAGGGACACTTGGCAGCTCTGGGGGCTCCAGCCAGATGGGGGGCAGGGACTGTCCCCTCCTCCTGGCTGCTCAGCCTCGGTCCTCAGGGCCCCCGCTGGCCTCCCAAGCCCCAAGGGGACGCCGGGTGTTGAGCTCTCCGGCCTCAGGGTGGTTGGGGCCCCATCTTTCTCCTGTGGGGTGCAAGGGACCTCGGCTGTGCTGTCACCTCTGGGAGCTTCCGTGTCCCCCGAGCTCACAGTCTTGTGCCAGAAACGCTGCTGCCGGGCTGGCCCAGAGCAGTGCCCAATAAACACCTGTCTTCTCTTCCTTCCACGGCTCTGGTGCCCACCTGGGCTCCACACCCTGGGGGAGGCTGGAGGGGACAGGGGACAGCGGCATGCGCCCGGGCACCTTGGCATCACTAACCCGCAGGGCCCTGAACGCCTAGGGCTGGGGGCTCTGCGGGGCGGGCCGGGTCCGCCGGCCAGGCCTCAGCACCACAGCCCCCAGAGCAGAGGCAGGGGACACGGTCCCCAGACGGGCGCAAGCTGCTGCCCTGCGCCCACTCCCAGGCTGAGGCCAGGGCCGCCCCAGGAGCCTGGGCCCAGGGCCTCGCCCGCTGAGCTGCACCCCGGTGCGGGGTCTGCAAGGATCAGGCGGGGTCATCACGACAGCCCGTCCCTTGTCCCATCCCGAGTTCCGGGCGGTGCGGACTCCGAGGAGGGCGGGGGCAGAGGAGGAGGAGCCCCCCGCCCCTCCCCGTCCCCTCCTCCTCTGGCCGGGATATAAGCTCCAGGGATGGGGCCCTGACTAGAGGCCGCTGCCTTATGCCCTCGGCCCCGACCTCGGCGCTGACCCCATCTGCGACTCCGCGCTGCTCATCGCGCTTCCGGTGCTGTGGCTGTGAGTGGGGAAACTGAGGCCGGGATGGGAGACTGAGCGGCAGGAAGCCGGGCAGGGAGGCAGCAGGCGGAGAACCCCGGAACCGCGGCTCCACCCTCTTCCTCTGGGCAGCCGCGCGTTGGGCCGTTGGGGCTCTGGGCTGCCAAATGGGGAAACTGAGGCCCGGCCGGCACGCACCCCGTGTCCCCCAGATGGAGCCGATGCGCAGGTCACGGCCCGCAGTGGCTGCCGTGCTGCTGGCCCTGCTCGCCGGCCTGGGGGCGCTGGTCGACGCCTATCCCATTAAACCTGAGGCCCCAGGGGGCGACGCCTCGCCGGAAGAGCTGAGCCGCTACTATGCCTCACTGCGCCACTACCTCAACCTTGTCACGCGGCAGCGGTGAGCGCGTGCGCTGGGCGGGCAGTGCCCACCACGCCCAGGCCCCGCCCATCGGTCAGGCCCCGCCCACATATCCAAATAGAGACTGGTCACGCCCCCTCGAGCCCACCTAGACCCCAGCATGGTCGGGGCGGGGCGGGCCACGCCCACTCGTGGTCCCCGGGCCTGACCACGCCCACTCCCCCCAGGTACGGAAAGCGTGCTGGCCCAGAAGCAGCGCTCCCCAGCTTGCTGTCCCCCGACTAAGGCGAGGACCGGCACCGCCCGCGCAGGTCCGGTAAAGGCGCTCTCCGCGCGCAGTCGGCCCGGGACCCTGGGCCACTTCCAGACTGGATTCCTCTCCTTCCTCCTGCAGGCCAGATGACGCATGCCGGTGATGAACACGCGAGACCCGGAGATGCCTGCGGCGCCGCGGACCCCTCTGCCGGGTGCCCTGCCCCACGTCCTCGTCCTCCAGGTCCCCAATAAAGTGCAGATCTCAGACTCACACCGTGTGCGAGTGTGTTTCCTTCCCTTCTCTCTGCAGGGGCATCCGCTGGGACCCACCGGGTCCAGGGACCCAGGGCGGCCGGCAGGGGTCACTGCTAGCTAACGCCCCATCCTAGGCACCAGCCTTCCCGGTGACAAGGCCACAGGAGACTGCAGTGTCCCCTCCCCACCAGACGCTGAGCTCCATGCTGCAGTGCCAACCAACGTAACCCAACCTAGACAAGGCCTGCCTGGGCTGGCCCTGGCTGCTCTCCCTGGCTGCCTGGGCCTCAGGCCTCCGTTGTGACCACTAGGTTCTGCTGTCTGTGCGTCCCCACCCCCTCAGGTGGGGGACCCCTAAAGGAAGGGCTGAATCTGTGGGGTCTCGCTGGGCCTCCAGCTCTGAATGTCCTGTCCAAGTCCAGGCAGGTGCTGGGGCAGAGGGGATGGGGGAACGCAAAGCCTCGGACCCAGAGGGACCAGAGGGCAGGAGGGCCGGTCCCTGGGGGGCACTAGTCCAGTGACGCTGGGGGACAGAAGGCTCTGGGTGCAGCTACTGGGGAGGCCGGGAGGCCGGCATGCTAGGGCTGGGAGGCTCCCACTGCCCCTGCCCCAGGCCCTCAGCGCCCCCAGGTAGGGCGGGAAGGCCGGAGGGTGAGGGAGGGAGCATGGAGTCACTCGATTCACGTCCCCCAGGTGACCTCTCTGCGCAGGGCTGAGGACTCCCCACCCCGAGTCTGCCCTTGAGGGATAAACACCCTAATCTGAAGTATTTGGACAAGGACTCTGCCCGCTCCCAGCCAGACCTGGGAGCAGACTCCTGCTGAGACACATACACCTTGCTGCCATGCGGCCGCCTGTGTGCAACACGCTATATGACCAGCGGGGAAAGGCGGACTTTGGGAGACTCAGAGCTGCGTGCAGGGCCTGCGCCCAGTGGGATTCGACCAGTCGGGTCGGGATTTTCCGGTTGTCCTCGGGTGTTGAGCCGAGTGGCTGTCCTGGCTGGTGACGTGTTGTGTTACTTCTATCTGTCCTACTTTCCTTTTACTGTTCTTACTGCTTAACCCTGTAATAAAGCTGTCTTCATTCATGCTTTCGTGTGGCTGCTGAGACTCTTCCAGGTTTGATCCTCAGTCTAAGGGGTGCACCGGGCAGCTCGGTATTAACCCTTGCTGCGACAGGAGGGTCTGGCCAGGTGCCCTTTCAGCCCAGGAAACGGGGCATGGTGAGGTCTCTTGGCGCCCTCTGCACTGTGAGGCCTGACCGAGGCCCCGTGGCCCCGTCTCCCGTGCCCTGGCTGTCGGGTTGCCGGGAATCCTGGTCAGCGTGAGGCTATCGGAGGGGCCTGGGGGAAGCAGACACCAGGTGACCGGGAACCTTGAGCAGCGGGTCAGACTCCACCAAAGGGAAACTCGGCTGTCACAGTGGCAGTTTATACACTCCTGTGTCAACGGGCAGAACTAGTGCTTCTGCACACCCTGAAACACAGTGGCACTGGGGTGTCCGGGATCCGGCCAAGTGGGCCCAGGGTGGGCACATTGCTCTCCCGTGTAACACATGGCCCTAAGATGTGCAGCTGGAAACAACCATCGTGTCCTGGGCGATTTCTGGGTCTCAGTTGGACAGCGCTGGCTGGCCCATGGGGTCCCCCAGGCAGTCAGTCAGGGGTCCCCTGGGGCTCCCCCCACACAGGGGGCTGACAGGGCATCCAGGGTCCCGGGGCTAGCACCCCGAGAGTGCCCCTGGAGGGCCAGCACCAGGGTACGATGTGGCCACTCTTTCCCCAGGGAGCTCTCCCCGATGCCCAGGGGTGCTGGGACCTGGGTGAGCTGTATAAAGTCTATACTATGTCTTCCCAACACATGCATTGGGAGGAAGTTTAATTTATCAATTAGGCCCAAGCTGGGCATGGGGCCCATGCCTGTGATCCCAGCACTCGGGAGGCTGAGGCAGGAGGAGCTCTGTCAATTCAAGGCCACCTTAGGCTATAGTGAGTTCAAGGCCAGCCTGAATTATATCTTGAGACCTAGTCTCAAAATTCCAAAAATAGGTTGGGGCTGGGGATTTAGCTCAGTGGTTCTGCCACCTGCCTCAAAAACGCAAGGTCCTGAGTTTAGTCCCCGGTAGCGGAAAAAAAAGAAATAAATAAAGCCCAGAAGATAGACAACACTAATAACAGAATGATCATAACAACATTCGGTAACAGAAGTTACATAAACGTGGTCTCTGTCAAAATATGAAACAGCAGAGGAGCGAGGCTACCATGACAATTTTCCTCAGAGACGATTTTCCCAGCCAGAGAAAAGCAGCTAGGATCTCAGGACAGCTCCGGACCGAGGCGCCAGTAGGCTGGGCCCCGAGGCGGCAGGCCTGCCTCAGCCACCCCCTGGTAGTCCTGTGGCCACTCTTCATCGCCCCTCTGTGTGTCGGCTTCTTTGGGGGGGTCCGCAGCCCCCACGCCAGGCCCCAGAGCTCAGAGGGGTGGCGAGGGCCGTGTGGGCATCACTGCGGCCTGCGCCCAGGGCCCCACGGGTGCTGGCTCCTGGGACAGCTGCGCCCCATCTGCTCGCCCCTCACTGCTGCCCCCACTCAGGAATCCACCCTTCCCGGACGAGGCCAGACCCCAGCCAGCAGAGGCGACCAACGCAGGACCAGGACATACCATGGGTGACTCTCAGGCCTGGCCTGGTCCTGCTCCCTCCTGATCTGCAGGACCTCAGCCGCTCCATGGAGCCTGTGGCCTCCCGGCCAGGCTGTGGTGGCCCGGGAAGGACCCAGGCACATGGTGATGATGGCAGCTAGCTCACAGCGACCACGGCCTCTCTTTCCCCTTCTTTTAAATTTGTTTTCCAGACACGGTTTCGCTAGGTAGTCCCGGCCAGCCTTAAACTATATAGCCCAGGCTGGCCTTGATCCTGTGGGAACGCTCCTGCCTCAGCCTCCCGAGTGCTGGGATCACACTGTGCAGCGCCACACCCGGTTCCTTTCCTTGCTCAGCCTCAGTGTCCCCGTCCTTCAGGAACAGCTTCCGGCCTCCTTCCCGGCCTTGAGCTCTCCACAGACCTGTGCTCCCCCGACTCCCTCCATCCCAGGGACACAGTGGCTGCGGTGACTGAGACACCTCTCCCAGGTGATGGTGACTCGGGGGCCACCGGGGTGGGTGGCGGGGACCCTCAGCTCTTGCCCGCCTCACATGGTCCCCACTGGCGTTACGGGTCTCCCTGTCCCTGCCCGAGGGCTGGAGCGAGGGAAGCATCGTGGCCACGCTGTGACCCGGCCTGGACAGGGCAGGTTCAGGAGGGGGAGGGACACGCACCCGAGAAGCCACAGGAGCAGCTCCGGAGGGCGGGCAGTGCCAGGCCATGGAGGTGGCGTCTCCACTGCCAGGTCCGTGACGGTGCCCGGGACATGGCAGGCTGCGGCGCTGAGCGGTTTCTGCTCCGGCTCCTGCTCCTGCGAGGGTGGCGTCCACACCTCCACTGCAGGGCTGGAGGCCGAGGGGCTGCTGCCCGGTCACTTAGCATGCGCGGGCGCCTGCCCTAGGGGCACCTCACAGACAGGCCAGGGCTGCCACTCTTCTGGAGGTGGCTGGACCGTGCAGGATGCCCAGCCCCAGTGGGGGAGGTGCCTGTCATCCCAGCACTCTGGGAGGCTGAGGCAGGAGGGCACACGTCCAAGCTCAGCCCAGGCAGCATAGCGACTTAGTGAGACCCTGTCTCAGAGCGAACACTTTTACAAAGAAGGATCCGGACGGATGGGGGGGGGGGCACAGACTCAACCTCTCCCTGCTGCCCCAGCGCCGCACCGCGCACAGGGCCTGGACGCTGCTGTCTGCAGCCGGCAGTGGCCTGTACGGAAAGCACCGAACTGCAACGGCCCGGACACCGGAGCAGCCCGACACAGGCAGCGGCAGGCCAGGTCCGGATCCAAGCCGGGCCCAGAGCCCCTGGTGGCCTCTGCCTCGCTCAGGGGACAAACCCAGCGGGAAGGGCTGGGCTCCATGTCCACAGAGGCCAACTGTCCCAGGCCAGGCGCTGAGAGGCCTGCTCCCCCCGCGATCTGTGTGACCCCACCCAGGCCCTGTGACCTCGGCCCCATTCTTGGTGCTCAGCTCTGGGATGGCAGGGACCTCTGGAGTCGGAGGTCCTTTGTCCCCACAGCCAGGGGCTGATCCGGCCAGAGCCCCGGATCCAGGGGTGGGAAGGGACGCTGGGTGGGGAAGAAGTGCAATGGGCAGCTGAGGTGGCGGGGGGACTTGGACAAGCCCGTCCACTTTGGTGGGCCTCCTGTTTCTTCTTTCCCTTCCCCTGCAAGACTAGGCACGGCACCCAGGGCTGGGCATGTGCTAGGCAGGCACTCAGCACTGAGCTACAGCCCAGGCCTTTCTTTTTCTTTTTGGTACTGGGGATTGAACTCCGTTCCTTGTGAGGCAGGCGGCGGAACCACTGAGCTAAATCCGGGGCCCTTCATTTTTTAATTTTGAGAAGCGGTCCCACTAAATCACTGAGTTGCTGAGGCAGGGCTTGAACGTGCAGCCCTCCTGCCTCAGCCTCCCAGAATGCTGGGATCACAGGTGTGCAGCACCACAGCCCGCCTGGCGGTACCCATCTCTAAGCCGGGCTGCTGCGGGGCGCAGGGGGGGCTTCAGCCAATGATGATGGGGGAAGAGGAGCTGGGACCCCGGCAACTCCTCGCTCACTGCGCACCCACACCCCAAGCCTGGGGCCCCGTTTCGCTCCACTGAGGATGGAAAGCCCCGCCCCATTCTCCCCGCTTCTGCTGCACCCCAGCAGGAGGCCCGGGCCTCCACCCTCCACCTGCAGACTCCGCCGCTGCAGCCCTGAGGACCTGGGCTGACCCGGACTAGAGGAGCTGCTCCAGGGCCTCAGCCAGCTCCTCCAGAACTGTGTCCTGAGCCCGCGGCGGCTCCCTGCTGTGCTGGCCGCCCTGGTGGGGCCCGGCTGCTCCTGGGGCCTGGGGGAGGGTGCTCTCTGGCCCGCCGAGCAGAAGGGCCAAACACACTCTGGTGCCCAAGGGCGGACTTGTGCCCTCTTCAGCCACCATCGGCCCCAGAGCTGGGCCCCAGAGTGGTGCCCGGCCCCTCCCGTCCCTGACCTTCCGTGGCACCGGTGCTGCGGGTACCAGGGAGACGGCGAGCAGAGAGGCCCTGAGCTGGGCAGCGAGGGAGGTGTGGGGCGGGGACTGGGGGGCTGAGGACTATAAAGCGCAGGCAGCGAGGCGGGCGACCCACTTGCAGTGAGCGCCCACCCTGACTCGCCTGCTGCTCAGGACTCAGGGTGAGAAGGCTCGGCCTGCCCGGGCTCTGGGTACCCATGGGTCTCCGTCCTTCCTGGGGCGCAGTGCACAGCCTCAGGTGCCATCCTCTGCTCCCCAGGTCCTCCTTGCTGCCCCTGCTGCTCTGGGGCTGGCTGGGACTTACTCTCTGGCAGTGAGGGGGGCAGGTGCCCGGGACCCCTGTGCTGTCCCCCTTCCCGAGGTGGGGGGCTCAGGGCCAACTGCCTGTCCTGCCCCTCAGATGGCCGCCACCTGCCACTGTCTGTCGCTGCTGCTTCTGAGCACCTCTGTGGCTCTGCTGTTGCCGGAAGCCTGGGGAGCCCCTCCGGAGCCTGTGTACCCTGGGGACAATGCGACACCGGAGCAGATGGCCCAGTACGCAGCCGAGATGCGGAGATACATCAACATGCTGACCCGGCCCAGGTGGGCACAGGGCCCTGGCTTCCTGGGGTTCTGGTCATCACCCAGCCCTGGCCCTGAGGGTCACCCCTGGGCAGAAGGAGGATGGCGCCCACAGGCAAATGGGGCAGGGCACTGGCACCAGGCACAGGGCCCACCCATGCGCTTCCTCCCCAGGTACGGGAAGAGCACGGAGGACAAGGACGACGTGCTGGGCTTCCCAGGGTGGCGCCTGCCCCACTCAGCAGCCCCCGGGTTCCATCGCCCGTCTGCTTGGCTCCCCACAGTATAGGGGCACAGGGCACCAGGCAGTCCTCCTGGAGCACAGGGCTGTCCCCACAGGGAGCCGCGTCTGTGGGTGAGCTGCGCCAGCTGCCCGCCGCCTGGGAGCCCCGGCAGCACCAGTGCGCCCTGCCCCGGCCCCACTAATAAAGCAAGCGCCCCTGCAGCTGCCTGTGTCTGTGTCTTGGGCACCCGGGGAAAGGGGCTCCTCGTCATTTCGGGGGAACAGTGTCAGAGGGGGCCTTCCCCAGGGCCAGCCGGCAAGGCAGTGAAGGGCAGGCTTGGGCTGCATGCTGCTTGGGCCATCTCAGGACCTTCCTGACCAGTGACAGGGCCGATATGTCCAGCCCCAACGCTGGCTCATCAGAAACCTGGGGGCCATGACTGGGCACAGGGCATCCTCAAGCTGCTGCTGGAGGGGAAGCCCTGGGGTTCCTGAGGCCCAGGCACCTGGGGAGCCCACGATGGGCTCCGCACTGGGCTCCATGGGGTGAGGACCTGTGGACTGTCCACCAGGCACCCTGACCGTGTGCACGTGTGCGTGCGTGTAGTGGGAGTGGGTGTGCTTATCTCTCTCTCCTCTTCTTGCCCTGGGGGCTCCTGCGGACAAAGGACAGCCACGGCGGGCAGGGAGCGTGACCCAGCCCGGTGGGATGCTGGGCTGTACCGAGGATCTGGACAGGGACCAGGCCGGGCCAGGCAGAGGAACCTCCAGGATGTGGTGGGCACCACTTGGCTGTGGGGCGTGGGTCTCCAAGGCGGCCCGAAATCGTGGCTAAGGCTAGTGGCCCGGAGTGGGGAGAGGTACAGACCTCCCCTAAGGAGGACATCAGGGACACCGAGGCACCCTTGCGGTGGCCAGGGATGACCAAGGGCCCTGCCAGGTGCAGGCCCCGCTGGTGGCCACGCCCCGTACCTCTGTCACTGTGTCCCCTCCCGGGCTGCTCCCCAGGAGGGCACAGCTCCAAGCCACGTGTTCTGCGCAACGTGGCCTGGAGGCAGGGAGACCCGCCACTGCCGCACCGTCAGGTCACCGAAGGCACCGCTCTGGCCTCTCTTTATTGCTCTTGCGGGGCGGGAGGAGCCAGGGGGCCGGGGCCCACGCAGGGGTCGTCTGGGCGAGAACGGGGCGCGCCGGGCCCTGGTCACTTGGGTCAGCGCCGTCCTAGCCGGGACCTCGGAGCGGGTGCAGGGGTCTGAGCTCCAGCGCCTTCCGGGGCGGGGGGCTCGTGGCGATCGCGGGTTTCTTCGGGCTTTTAGGTTTCTTCGAGCTGGAGAAGACGCATCTGGGTGGGCCCGGGGCATACGCCCATGGGGTGCCGGGCGCCCCCTGACCCCGGACTCCCCAGCCCACCTGCTGCTGAAGAGCTTCTCCTCGTACTTGTTGAGCTGGCCAAAGTTGGAGAACCAGCCGGCCGCCCTGGGATCGGAAGGCTCCCGACACCTGCAGCTCCGCGCCCTGCGCGCCCTCCGGCCGCAGCAGCAGCAGCAGCAGCAGCAGCAGCGTTGCCAGGCAGCTGAGCGCCATTGCGCACGCGCAACGCGGGGCCACCGCCTGTAGGTGGCAGACAGCGGCCACGTGAGGCCGCGGGTGGAGGGCAGAGATCACGTGACAGTGACGCTCGGCAGGTGCCCGGGTCCTGGGCCCTAGAGACGTGCAAGGGTGTATGGCGCCCAAAGGAACGGGCTAGGGTCCAGGGTGCAACCTGGACACCCAAGGCGAGGCGGGGGTACAAGTGACCACCTGTAAGCTCAGCATTCGGAGGCAGAGGCAGGAGGATGGCCAAGTTCCAGCCCAGTTGGGCAGCTTAGGATGCGTGGCTGGACGTGCAGCTCAGCGAGAAGGCTCTGGGTTCAAACCCCAGCACCACAGAACAAGCGCCCCGGAGCCTCAGCTTTTCCTCTACCCCTCCTCTCCCCACAGCTCTGTCCTCTCCCCTCCATCTCCCTGCTGGCCTGGGAGCAGCCAGACCCTGCGGGAGAGCGCACTCTCCTTCTACCCCACTGGCCACTGGTCCCTGCCTGCTCCTTGTCTCGCCGTGTCCTAAGCTCATCGCCCGTCCTGAGGCCCTGCCCGGCCACCCGCCTCGGCCAGAGTCGCCTGTGGAGGTGGCAGCAGGCCGTCAGCGACTCGGCCTAGGTCAGGTAAAGAGCCTCTTGCATACGGGATGCCAGCGGGGGACCCCACATCCCGCCAGGCACAGGGGACACAGGCCACACGGGAGCCCTCAGACCACCCTATCCCTAAGTGTGACGGGCACCCCAAGGCCCTGAGCCCCTGTTCTTGCTGACCTCTCTGGAGTCCCCACCTCCCCCCCAGCAGGTGCCCTGAAGCCCTCCCGCCACTCCCACCAGCCGTCTGGGACCTCGGGGCCTTTATGTCCCCTGGACCCAGGCCCTCTGTCCCTCAGGTCCACCCTCTGCCCTGCCTCCTGGCCGGTGTGGCGGCTGGGGACAGACAGGTGGGTGTGGGCGCCTGCGGCTGCTGGCCATCCTCCCTGGGCACAGTCCCTGCCGGGCCTGGGGGCAGTGGCAGAGGTGACCTTCTGCTCCAAGCTCCAAGACCCAGGGCAGGCCTGTGGCTGGCCGGGAAGTCACCCCGCTCCTGGCCCAGGCCTGCTCCGACAGCGACTTCCTGCTGACAGTGCCAGCTGGGCCTTGCGCAGGGCAGGGGCCTTGCTGCCCCCGGGCCGTCATGTCCCTTCTGCTCTTCTGCAGTGAGGGATCCCTGGGGCACCGCACCCGGGAGGCGCCGAGGGGGGCAGCAGTCTTTGAGGAGGGTCCCCCCGCTCACCACCTACAGCTGTGTGACGTCCAGGACACTACATCCTCCCTGGGGAGCGGAGCTGTCACCCACGTGAGGCGGTGGAGCTGGTCTGAGGCTCACGTGTTGCCCCCCATCTCAGGTCACCCCAGGCAGCAGTCCTGGCGTGTGCGGGATGGCCCGTGGCCCAGCGGGACCGGGGCTGCATTTCTGCAGGGTCAGGCATGTCCCGACCAGGCCTGTGAAGCCGGGCACCGCAGCCCAGCACAGGTGAGCCGTGCCGGGGAGGACGCGTTCCCTGGGGGCTGTCACAGCTCTACCCGCTGACTGCGCCCGTCTGGTTGTCACTTTTGGGGTCCCCAGTCCTCCTGAAGAGCCTCGTGCCTTTATAACCCCACGTTGTCCTCCCCCTCCCCGCAGCTCTGCCTGGTGGATCTCACCACACCCAGCTCTGACAGCGGCCGCCCTGTCCTCCTCCTTCTCCTGCTCTGGCCTCCCAGCATTGGGAGAGCTGCTGGGCTGAGCCCCTGGAGAGGAGAGGGAAGGAGCTGTGTCCCACGCGTGCTGCCTGCCGCCTAGGGTGCGTACAGGTCTGGGGTTTGTTGAGTGAATACCTGTTAACTGTCTTATTTAGGTGTGGATTTCATGTCTCGTGCTGAGTCTGAGCAGGACCAGTGAGGACAGGGTCACTTCTTGGCAGGGCCAAAGCCATGTGGGGAGGGATCAGAGAGCCTCGGAGAGCAGGACCGAATTCTGGAGCCTGGCTGCTCCTGCCTGGTGCTGGGGAGGGGCCTCAGGTCAAGAGTCTCAAGCACCTGGGTCCGAAGGGTCGGGCCGCTGCTGTCCGGGAGGCTCTGGCCTGCGCCAGCCTTGCCTGGAGCACAGCAGGGTCCCCCTCCTCACCCCTTCCCAGGATGCCTCTCAGCGCACAGCCCCCACCCACGCGTGCCACGGCTCGCTTTCCAGCTCGTCCACAGAGCCCACAGCCAGCGTCGTGCCCATCCCCCCAGAAAGCAGCCCTGCCCCACCCCACCCCACCTGTCACCTCCCTCTGCCAGCCGGCGACGGGGTCCTGAGCCTCGCACGGCCTCTGCGGCCAGCCCTCTCGGAGCAGAGGTCTTTGGTGCACCCCTCGTTATTCTGGGAGGCACAGGGTGGCCCGTCCATCCCCCTCCCTGTGTGCGCGTGCATGCGTGTGTGTGCACACGTGTGTGTGCCTGTGTGAGCCACAGTCCTCCACCAGTCACCACTTCAGGCAGGCACACTTCTCTGTCCTTTCCTTCTGTCCCCAGATGGCAACTCAGGGGCCTCGCAGGTCCCCCAAGTGTCCACCCTAGGTCCGCTCGCCCTATGGTCCCCTCCTGGCCCCTACCATCTGCAGCTCCTCTGGCCCCTCAGCCCCATGTCGGGGTCCACAGGGAGCCCCAAGGCATGACTGGACATGGGGTCTCAGCAGTGGACATGGGGTGCTGGGTGGGCGCAGGACTCCGCTGGGGTCCCTGGCTCTGCACCAGCTGGCCCAGGCCAGCCCCATTGCCCGTCCCTGGCTCCTACTTCGTGCCCACAAAGGTCTGCAGCCCTTGTGCCCGTGTGCTAGAGGGAGGAGAGGAGATGTGGGTGGCACGGTTGGCTAGGCATGGTGCCATTGAGGGTGTGTGGGCAGTGGGAAGGGGCCATGCCACCTGTGTCCCGGGGCTGTGCAAGCCTTGGGGTAACCTCGTCCACCCTGGGGAGACCCAAGGCCATGAGGCTGCTGCCCAGCTGGCCCTGAGCCAGGGTGCCAGACTTGCTGCCCAATGGGGCTGCAACCACCGAGCAGCCTTTGTGTCCTCGTCCAAGGGGGAGGCTGGCACCACATGGTGCAGACAGGGAAACCGAGCGTGAGCACAGCTGTGTGACTGGCCTGGGGCACAGGCGCATACACAAGTGAGCACACACGAGTCGGATCCACCCAGCCGCGGGTGCAGCGGGGCCTCTGGCGCCCACCTCAGTTGTGAGGGGACAGGGCCAGGCCTCTGGGTCCTCAGGGGCCGCCTGGGCGGGGTCCAGGAGGGAGGCTGGGCTTGAGGCAGGCACCGAGCGTCCTTTCGAACATGGGCTCCAAGGTGGGGGGTGACCGAGGGGTGCTCAGAGAAAAAGACTTTGCAGATTCTATTTAGCTTTAAAGTAATCTTTGCAAAAGGTCTTTGCACGCATGTGAGTGGTTTCTCGCTGCAGAATAGTGCATCAGTCCAGACAGTTGATGAGCAGGTGTTTACCGGTTAGGCAGCGCCTGCCGTCCCTCCGGCCTGCCTGGAGCAGTGCGGGGTGGGGGCGTCCCGGCGCCCCTGCTGGCGTCTTCATCTCCCCGCTGAGTCCAGCTCCTCCCCGCGGTCAGTCTCTCTCGGTCCTGCGCCGGCCCCGCTGGAAGGATCTGCCCTCAGGGGAAGGAGAGGCGCAGCTGAGGGCGCGGGGCCGCTGTCCTGGGGTGACAGCGGCCCCGACGAGGGTCCTTCGCTTTGGGGGGCTCACACCCCCTCCCTGACGAGGCCAAGCGCTCAGCGGCCCGGCCGGGGGAGCGGCGAGAGTGGAGCGGCCTTCTGAGCGGGCCGGGGCTCCTCAGCCCCGCTGGGGATCGGCTGGCTGGGCGGATGAGAGGGGACAGCGTGACGCCGCTGACTCTCCCCGCCCTCGGCCACCCCACTGCGGCCCGGCCCCGTCGAGCCCCACGTTCGGCCCATTCCTGACGCGGTCCTCTCTGATCTTGGCCCCCAGTGTGTGGCGGGAGAGTGGGGGCGGGCCGAGGCAGGGCTCTCCGGCTGGGCCAGTGCTGGGGCCCCGGGTCCCCGGCCCCACGCCTCTCAGCGGCGGGGTGAGCAGGGGCCGCGGCGCCGGTCGCTAACCCTTTGCTTTCTTCCTCTCACGCTCGGCGGCGGGAGCTCCACCCCAGCGACCCCTGCGGAGCTCTGGGCTGGGACCGGTGCCTCGCCCGGGGCTGAAGCGGGGCTCGGAGGCTGGGCCCCCAACACAGGACAGGGCCCCGAGCCCACGCACGAAGACATTTCCTTTTTTGAATTTTTCTAGAGGCCGGGATCCGGGTGTCCCCCTCGGAGGCCCCCAAGGCCGCCCCAGGCCTAGGCCCGCGTGGCGCGCCCCCTGGCGGTGGCCCCGCCCCCCGTGTCCGGCGCGCGCCGAGGCCCCGCCCGCCGCGTCCCCTCCCCCAGGCTCCGCCCCCGCGCGCCAGTCGGGCCGAGATCGGCCGCGCAGCCTCCGCGGGCGCAGGTGGGTGCCGAGAGCGACCCGGCCGCAACCCCCAGGGCCGCGCGTCCCCGCGCAGCCCCTGCCTGGTCCCCCGCCCCCGCCCGCCGCCTTGGGGTGCCGCAGGCCCCCGCCCCGGTCCAGCGAGGCAGGACCCCCACTCTCCACCCCAGCCTCGCCCCACGGCGGCCGAGGCGGCGCAGGCCGGGTCGCCTGGGCTGGCGGGGACCCCTCACCCTGTTACGTAAGCGCCGGCTTCCAGGGGCGGGGGCTGCGCGTCCCGAGTCCCCCAGCCCCAGGCCGCGGAGGGGCGGGATAGGGGCCAGGGTGAGAGCCCGCGATGCTGGGGCGGGGGCAGTCGGGGATGCAGGCGGCCCGGTGACCTCATCCCGCCCGCCCAGGTCCTAGGCCGCGCTGGGCCCTGTCTGAGCGCGCGGATGGGTGGGGGTGGCGAGGCCCCCAGGTGCCAGCCCAGGCCCTGGGCCGCGTTCCCGGCTCCTGGCACTGTCCTCCCCTGCAGGCCGGGGTGGGGCCCCGCTGGGACCCTCCCGCCTCTTCGCGCCCCGGCTGCTCCCTCTGGGCGCTTCGCCCTAGGAATGGGGCAGCGGGAATGGGCAGCGGGCGCGGGCACCATCCGTGCCAGCACAAGGGGCGCCGCCTTCCGAGAGCCCGGCTCGGGTCCTGAGCGCCACACCTGACTGAGTGCAGTGACGGCTGGGCCGGGAGCAGTGGACGGGGGCTTCACTGAAGCCGGGTCGGCGGCCCTGGGAGAAGCCTTTCTGGGGCCCCCACCCCCGGAGCACAGACTCCCCCACTCCCATCCTTCTTCGGGCTGCCTCGGTCGTCATGGCAACAGGGACTTGGGATTTTTATCGCAGCTCAGGCCCAGGAGGAAGCGCCCAGGGAGGAGTCCAGGATGTGGTCCCTGCCTGGGTCCCAGCCCTGGGATAAGACCCGGAGACTGAGTGGCAGGAGGGCCCCAGGGAGCTTGGCGCCTGTCGGCCAGGTGCAGTGTTTCTGGCGGGTCTATGCCGGCCAGCCTGGGTTCTGGCTCTCGGGGAACTTCCTAGCTGCAGCGCTGATGGCTCCTGCTTTGGACTCAGACCGGAGCCGGCCCGGCCTGCTGTCAGAGAGGACCTCGGTGGGCAGAAACGCTGCCGTGTCGGGCTCTGAGCCCGGCTTCCCCGCGGCCCTTCCTGTCAGCTGGTGATGCTGGCCAGGCGGCGGCCTCTGATCCTCTCGGGGTCCTGGTCCTCCCCAGCAGGCACTGGCTGTCACCTGCCCTTCCCGCCCCGGACTGCTGGGGTCCCTGCTGCCATCCAGTGCCCAGGTTCTGGGCAGTGTCCCCTCTACGTGGTGCCCATCGGGCCTGGCCCTGCGCCCTCTCATCCTCTCCCTCCTCCCCAGGAGACAGTGTGGAGCCCTCGCTGACCTTGCCATGCCAGTTGCCGCCACCAACTCTGAGTCGGGTAAGGAGGGACTGTGGCTGATTTCAGTGGTTTCGGGGTGCCAGGCAGGGAAGTGGGTGGCATAGCAGCTGGTGCTTCTCCGGGACCCAGAAGAGGAAGAATATGACTCGCGTGCCCCAGGGTCTGGGTACCTGCTTGGGGGGACCCACGGTTACTGGGGGAGCAGAGCAGGGCCAGGCTGGCTGGAGAATCGCTGGGTGTGGTGCCCCCCAGGCCAGCAAGTGTGGGGGCAGAGTTGGGGTACAGGAACTGCTAGTGGAGACCAGGCCAGGTGCCTGTGGCTTTGCAGCAGGTTCCAGGTGAGGGAGTGGTACGGGACAGGTGGGGAGCTGGCCTCCAGTGCCCTCGGAGCCCACGTTCCCTCCTGTGCCAGGGTCCCCCCCCCCCCCGCTCCCCTGAGGTGAGTGCCAGGCAAGGCCACCTTCCTCCCTCAGTGGGCCTGGGCCTCTGAGTGCTGACAGCCGTGGGGCCTGCTCACAGACCACAGCTTCCTGCCCACGTCTGCGTCCCACTCCAGGGTTCCCGCACCCTGAGATCGCTCCAGGGCCCCAGGTTAGGCTCTGGTGGCAGAGGCTCGTGCCTCTGCTGTGGCCCAGTCTTGTCTCCCGGCCAGCCTGTCCCCTGCTCCAGCACCGTAAGCCGCTTGGGGTTAATAAGCCCATCCCAAGCCCAGGATTAGAGGCCTCCCTGTCATACTGCCCGTAAGCCCATTACCAGTGCTGGCAGCCTGTCCAGGCCCTCTCAGTCCCGGCCTTAGAGCTCACAGCGAATTCTGCCGCTGTCACCTGGTGTAGCGATGCTCCCCCAGACTGATGTGACAGCTGCAGCCCCTGAGGCCCCGAGCCTTGGGCTCTGCAGTGACTGAAGTCTTCCTCCAGTCTTCCCCACCCACCCGTCAGTCAGCAGGGTCTTGGCTTTTTGGAGGGAGAGGAGACCCTGTCTGGGCTTGGAGAAACGCGGGAGTGTTACGGGGGGGAGATGCAGGTGGTGGTGCAGCTGGTGTTGGGTTCCCGCCCTGACCCGAGGCCTCTCCCTCCCCTCACTGCTTGGTTCCGGGGATCAAGGTGAGGTGCTGGGCTGCTCTCCCCCAGAGGAGCGGTCCCTTTAAATCTCAGGCGCACGCTTGTCCCTAGGCTGTGTCCTGCCGTGTGAGCCTGCCTGCTGCCATGGCAACCGGGGTGAGGGAACTTGGCCTGGTCCTCCGGAGGGAAGAGCTGGGAGGAGCAGACGCTGGCCAGGGCGAGTGGCCTGGTCCCAGGGCTGAGGAGCCCCTCCCTCGCTGGCCCAGGTGGCTGTGGTGCCGTCCCGAAGGGGGCATTTAGGGGCAGCCCTGGGGGCCCAGAGTTCTTTGCCTGACGGTTGGGCAGGTAGCCTGGTGGACCAGCACGGGGCTTCCAGGAATCTGGGGTGGGGACAGGTTGGGGGTAAGTTGGGGCCTCGCAGCCAGCTGTGAGCAGTGGTCTCAGAAGGGGTGCCACACTGCCACTTCCCAAAGCACGAACCTCGACACCTCTCCACTGCCTCCGCCCCACCCCCAGCCCCGCCCCCTCCCTGCCAGCGCTGCTGCCATTGGCGGGCTCTGTCGCCCCCTTCCTGGGGTCTGGGGACCCACACTGCTGGGGACACCATGGCTGGCAGCTCAGGCAGCGGGGCCTCCCTGGAGGGCCTGTCCCTGGGCTCCTCGGAGGAAGCCGAGCTGCAGAGGGAAGGTAGGAGGGACCAGCTGCGTGCAGGGTGGGGACGTGGACTCAGCTTCCCCCAGAGTCCAGGGGGCCCAGCCTGGCCCAGGCAGAAGGGTCTCGGGCCAAGGGCGGGCAAGATGCGGCTGCTGGGGACCCAGAAGTCCGCACTCCACTACCCGCCATCCTTCCGGGGAGGCAGCCAGCCCTGATGGGTGCGGAGGGGGTGCCAGCCCCCCTCGGTGCTCTTGCAGATGGAGGCGTGGGTGCCAGGTGGCAGGGTAATGACACCCTGCCCATCTCTGCCCCCACGAACACTGCACGCACTGTGCCTCCTCCCTCCTGGGGCCTGCCCCAGCCTGGCTCCTGAGCTGTGCCCTCCTCGGGATCCTGGGCATTGTCAGGCCCCATCCAGGACAATCAGCTGCTGCCCTTGAGCACCTTGGCCTGACCACTGCCCTTGGGTGCCCACTGCCACCCCGGTATGTGCCCGGTCAGCGTCTGGGGTTTTGGTTCCACTTTACATCACTCCAGTAGCCACAGGTCCCACTGGGCACAGGTCCCGGGCAGAGGTGGGGAGAGACCCAGCCAGGCAGGGACAGTGGCACCACTGGGCTGGGTGTGGCTCTGGCCTGGACGCTGAGGGGCCCATGGGCTGGGGTCTGCACTGTGGGGCTGGCTCTGAGCCACTTTGGCTCCACCCTGGCACCCCACCCACTGAGCCCACTTCCTGCCACCAGGCCAGCCCTGTCCAGGACTGCGGCGGCTACACGGGGTGCGGTGTGTGGCCGGGCTGTCCCTAGGCAGAGCACCTGGGTGCCGGGGAAGGGGCAATGGTCTGCGAACAGCTCATCCGCTCTCCACCTGCAGCGATGCAGCAAGTCCTGGACAATCTGGGGTCCCTGCCCAACACTGCTGGGGCCGCAGAGCTGGATCTGATCTTCCTTCGCGGCATCATGGAGAGCCCCATCGTCAGGTCCCTGGCTAAGGTAGGTGCCCAGGTACCCAGCGCACGATGGGCAGGTGGCAGACACCACGCCACACCAGGGAGACCTGAGGGTATGCTGGAGCAGGGCACTCGGGCTTGGAGGCACTGAACTCAGCCTGGGGCAGAAAGGGAGGAAGCGGAGGAGGATGGAGGGTGGGTGCCCCAGACCCAGAAGAGCTCCAGGGCCCTGGGGGTGAGGTGGGGGCCTGGGTGTCCAGGGCGTACCTGGGGTGATGGCCGGGGGTCACACCTGCAGCTGAGGGACCTGTTAGCAGGGGCAGCAGGAGCCCCTGAGCCGAGGCCGCAGGGCTTGAGGGGACTCCTGGAACAGGGGTTTGGGTGCAAGGCCACGGGGCTGGTACTGCCTTCAGCTGGGAGAGCAGGGAGAGTCGGGGGTGGGTAGAGGACACACCTTGCTGAGCAGGAGGTGAGGCAGGCGCTCGGGGCCTGAGCCGGAAGAGAGGCTGGGAGGGGGGACAAGGGCGGGGCTGGGCCTGCCCAGGTCCCCGGTGTGGGCTGCAGGAGGAAGGGGCAGGCCGAGGGGAGAGGTGCCCAGGGCTGTTCCGGGCTCCCAGGCCACGTGCGGTGTGGCTGTGTGGCTGCCAAGGGGCTGGGCCCCGGAGCGGGCGTGAGCCTGGCCGCCCCAACCTGGAAGTCTGGGGCAGGGGCAGGTGCTGGGGTGGGAGAAGTCAGGGGCCCAGAGTCACCCGCAGCAGGTGAGGACAGGAGGTCTGCGGTGCCAGACTGTGCTGGCTGGAGGGGCAGGCGGTGCTGGTGATGGGGACCTGTGCAGGCCGGCTGTGGCCCGTGGTTGGGGTGTGGAGGACCAGGTCCTGCTGCAAGGACACTGTGTCCCTGGGACAGCAGGGTTGGGGTCATCCGGGAGTGGAAGTAGGCTGGGAGGGGTGAGGAGCAGATCATGGAAAATTGGAGAGAGTTAATTTTGAGAAATTTGGGCGATGAGAATATTAAGCCAATTGGAGTAGATAGGCAGGTTGCTTTTTCATTCCGGGACTGGAAATTATACTCATTCATTAAAATCAGCAGCAAAAAGCCAGGCACAGTGGCATGTGTCTGTAGTCCCAGCTTCTTGGGAGGCTGAGGCAGGAGGATCTCTTGAGCCCAGGGCAACATAGCAAGACTCTGTCTCTACAAACAGACAGACAGACAAAGGGAAAGCTGTGCACATCAGGCATCGAGAGTGTGAGCTCTGCCAGGGCAGGAACATTTGTTTGGTTCACTGCTCTGTCCCCAGAGCCCAAGATGCTGCCTGGCCCATGGTGGGTGCCAAGGGAATGTTTTTATCAATAAAAGGAAAGAGTGAAGAAAATAACATCCTGGGCCCCTGAGACCCATCTCACTGGCCACAGTCGCCTTGGCGCCTGCACTTATGGTTTTTTTTGGGGAGGGTGGTATCGGGGATCAAACTCAGGTCCTTGAGCTTGTGCAGCAGGCAGCGAAACTGCTGAGCTAAATCCCGGGCCCCTGCACTTTTGTTTTAAGAAATCCAAGTGTGCCTGGCCAAGATCCTCTTCCCTGTTCCCTTCTGTGTCCCTCCCTTCACATCTGCCCACCTATTTGGCCGCCTGCATGCTGTCTTCTGTGTCCAGGCCCAGGGAGTGTGGCGAAGCTGTGTCTGTGTCAAAGCCTTGGGCTCACTCGCAGCGCGGCCGCCTGCCGAGGTAGACGAGAAGCCCGTGTCAGCCTGTGCTGTGTGTAGGCCGCTCGTGCGCTCGCGGGCTGCCCCAGGCAGGGAGGTTGTCCCCAGGGAGCAGCGAGCAGCCCTCATGCAGCTGCCGTGCTTCTCAGTGGCACAGGGTTTCTGAGTCTCTGGGTCCCCAGCCTTCCAGAGCTGTGTCAGGGTTGGATGCGTCCGATGACATCATCTTGGGGTCGCCCTGGCTCTCATCTCTCCATGAGAGGCTCCTGGGGCAGCAGAAACGCGGGTTTGGGGTTCTTTCTCCAGACCCCAACAGAGGTGCCTGCTTGACAGCTCTGCAGAGAGGGGATTGCTGCCAGCTCTGCTATACACCCACCCAGCCATCCATTCATCCATCCATCCATTCATTCATTATTTCATCTCTTCAGCAAACGTCTCTGTGCACCCACCAGGCACGAGGAGGCTCTGAGCTGGGGGCAGCAGTGACCCCAGTGCTCTGTTCTCTGCTGGTGGCCCCAAGTCTGTCCTGCTCCCCTGGGTCCCACAGTCCTGGAGCTCAGCACAGCCTGGCTGAAGTCACCTGCGTGCTCTCGGGGTGACGTAAACTCCTGCACCAGCCACTGTGACCAGGCCAGGGGACTTGGGAGGGGGCGGCTTGAGAGCAGGTGGGTGGACCCCCATTGAGCCCATGGCTACAGATGGCCCCTTAGGAGGACATGGGACTGGGCTGTGACCTCAGGCACCTTCCGCTCTGGCTCCTCCCGCTCTGTTCCTTGGCTGCTCGGAGGGCTTTCCACCTTCACACAGCCCAGAGCCGACTGTGGACTGAATGCTCGGAAACCGTGAGCTGGAATAACGGCTCTGCCTCTGAGCTGCGTGCCAGGGCTCACAGCGCCATTCACAGAGCTGGCTCTAGGGCGATGGCGGCCAAGCGGGTCTGAGAAATTCCCCAGAAGGGCCGGGCGCTGAGAAGGGACAGAACAGGGATGAGAGTCGGGGAAGTCAAGCCGCAAGCAGACAGCAGGGGGACCCAGAAGCAGTGGTCATCCAGGAATCCGAGGCAGGAGGCCACAGGAACGGTGGCCTGGGCCAGTGGGGACACTGCCGGCTGGGTCTGTGAGGGCCGTGCGTATGAGTGTGAATCAGCGGGCTGTTTGCGTGCCGTGTCGCCCGCTCCAAGCACCATCGCTTTGCCCAAAAGCCAGGAGGAGGAGCCCGAGCCCTGCAGGGCTGGTGGAGGCAGGGCGCGGGCTTTCGCACCGGCCCAAGCTCTTCCCTGGTGGTCCTGGCCTGTGGACCCAGGTTTGTGGGTGGTACTGGCCCCGTGGGAGGTGCTGGGAGCCAGCTGAGTGGCACCTGAGGAGCGTGAGTGTCCAGCAGTTGGGGGGACAGGGACTGAGGGGACCGTCATGGTCCTGCGTGACCCAGCCCTGGCTGGCGGTGACCCTGCAGGGCCCAGCTGCATACAAAGCCCCAAACCACCGTGATCAGAAAAGAACCTCGCCTGACTGTGATGGTCAACATCCCAGAAATCAAAAAACAAGCACAGAATCTTAGCGCTGTCAGAGAAGCCAGATGTGGGGGGCCACGCTTGCATTCCAGCACTCTGGAGGCTGAGGCAGGAGGGCTACCTGGAGAGACCCTGTCTCAAAAACCAAAAAAAGAAAAAAATAAGCTGTCAGAGAAGGGCACACACAAAAAATCATGCTTCCAGGTAAACCCATTGGGATTACAGCAGATTTCTCAACATACACGTTAAAGGCTAGGATTGCCTAGGCTGAGGTGTTTCAAGCCCTAAAAGAAGAAACTTCTGGCCAGGCCATTCTGTCCTGCAGGACTGATGGGGAGAGGCTGTCCTGGGACAAACAGAGCTGAAAGGAAGCCGTGGAGGTGAGGCTTTGCCAGGACCCCTCTCTGATCCAGATGGCAGGCTCTTGGATCCCGCTTCACTGAAGAGATCTCATTCATTCATTCAAATAAATTTTCTCTTCTCCCATTCCTCCCTCAATCTCCCTCCCTCCCTATGTACAGAAGCTTTGTTTCCATTTTTCCCTTCCGTTTTCACTTGTTTTCTTGTCGCTTCCTTCCTTTCTCCCCTCTCCCCTCCCTGTTCCCCTTCCCATGTAAACATTTTCTTCCATTTCCCAACATCCGTTATACATCTCAGTCCTTATTTCCACATTCAGGTTCTCACACCAGAGAAAGAACACGATATTTAAACACGTGTGTCAGATTTATTTCACCTAAGAGTATGGTCTCAAGGTCTATCCATTTAGCTGCACATGTCTGAAGCTCATCCTTCTTTATAGCAGAGTAGTGCTCCATTTTGTAAAAACCCACATCTTCTTTATCCACTCGTCAGCTGATGGGCATTTGGGCTGTTTCCAAGCTTTAGCTATTACACACTGTGCTGCTATAAACACGGGTGCACATATATCACTGTGGTAGGATGCTTTTTTTTTTTGGTACTCGGGATCGAACTCAGGTCCTTGTGCTTGCGCAGCAGGCGGTGAAACCACTGAGCTAAATCCCCAGTCCTAGGATGCTTTTAATTCTTTCGGGAAGATCCCCAGCAGGGGAATAGCTGGGTTAAATGGAGCCTCCAGTTTTAGTTTTTTGACGAATCTCCACACTGATTTCCACAGTGGTTGACCCAGTCTGCACTCCCACCAGCGGTGGAGCAGGGTTCCTCTTTCCCCACAGCCCCCCCCAGCATTGGTTATTGGTTGATTTCTTGATAGCAGCCGTTCTTTCTGGGGTGAGGTGGAATCTCAGTGTTGTTTTCATCTGCATCTCATGAATGACCAGTGATGTTGAACATTTTTTTTATGTATTTATTTGCTGTTTCTTCATCTGAGAAGTATCTTTTCATTTCAGTGCCCATTTTTGCATTGGGTCTGTAAATTTGGGGGTCTGATTTTTTTGAGTTTGTTGTGTATTCTAGATAACAGTCCTTTACCCGAATAGCTGGTAAAGGCTTTCCCACTCTGGGTGCCCTTGAGGAGATCTGACTTAGCACCACGAGATGCCCAGAAACCAGGTACAGACAGCGGCTGAGTGTCCTCCACAACACACCTCTAAGCTCCTAGGTGTGACGATGTACGTAAGCGTCCCTAGCGTGCGCGTCTCTTACGAGCGCCCTGAAATGGCCGCAGGTGATCACGCTGCGTAAATGATTCCGCACGTGGGTGGAGGCCGTGTGAAGCCAGACTGTTCATGGGCGGCTGGACGATGAAGCCAGCTGACAGATGGGGGCTCAGGTACACTTCCGAAATGGCCCATGTGTTTTCTCGGCACGGCCAGAAGATGGTAAGGAGAATCAAAGGGCAGCCAACAAGCTA